AGGGTGTGGAGAAAAGGAAACCCTCTTGCACTGTCGGTGGGAATGTAGATACACCCACTATGGAGAACAGTATGGAGGTTCCTTAAAAAACTAAAAGCAGAACAACCATACGACCCAGCAATCCCACTACTGGGCATAAACCCTGAGAAAACCGTAATTCAAAAAGAGTCATGTACCCCAGTGTTCATTGCAGCACTATTTACAATAGCCAGGACATGGAACCAACCTAAATGTCCATCGACAGATGAATGGATAAAGAAGATGTGGCACATATATACAATGGCATATTACTCAGTCATAAAAAGAAACGAAATTGAGTTATTTGTAGTGAGGTGGATGGACCTAGAGTCTGTCATACAGAGTGAAGTAAGTTAGAAAGAGAAAAACAAATACCGTATGCTAACACATATATATGGAATCTAAAAAGAAAAAAATGGTTATGAAGAACCTAGGGGCAGGGCAGGAATAAAGACACAGATGTAGAGAATGGACTTGAGGACACGGGAGGGGGAAGGGTAAGCTGGGACGAAGTGAGAGAATGGCATGGACTTATATATACTACTAATTATAAAATAGATAGCTAGTGGGAAGCAGCCGCATAGCACAGGGAGATCAACTGGGTGCTTTGTAACCACCTAGAGGGGTGGGATAGGGAGGGGGGAGGGAGACGCAAGAGGGAGGAGATATGGGGATATATGTATACGTATAGCTGATTCATTTTGTTATAAAAGCAGAAACTAACACACCATTGTAAAGCAGTTATACTCCAATAAAGACGTTTAAAAAAAAAAAGAAATTTACCCACATGTGATGCTACCACCCAGATAGCCCTTCCTCTTCACCTTTCTCTCCTATGAATCTGTTGCCCCAAGTACATCCATTGTGCTCTTTTTTGTTTGTTTTTTGTTTTTGTTTTTGTTTTTTGCGGCACGCGGGCCTCTCACTGCTGTGGCCCCTCCTGTTGCGGAGCACAGGCTCCGGACGCGCAGGCCCAGCGGCCATGGCTCACGGGCCCAGCCGCTCCGCGGCACGCGGTATCCTCCCGGACCGGGGCACGAGCCCATTGTGCTCTTTTTAAAGCAACTTGGCTTGGTGTACTTCTTCATTGTGGTTCTTCTAGTCTTCCAGCTTAATAATAATTTTCCTTGATAGAATGCAAACAGGATAAAAATTTAGAAGTCCTGTTTCTTCTGTGTCATTATTGATTTTATCTAATGCTGCACATAGTACTGGACTATAAGAGACAAGGAATTTTCACCAGAATCTCTTCCTTCATTGAGAAATCTCACTATTGAAACAAAAACAAAACAGCTGAACTAAAGAGAATGCCTAGTAATGTGGTTGACTTAAATTCTGACATAAGCTCCATATCTTCTCACAGACCAGTAACAGACAATTTGAGGTCCAGCAGCCAGTCCATGGACGGCTTGAGGAGCACTGCCTTATGCCATCAGCTGCCAGCCATGGCATATCTGATGCTATGATAGAATTCTGCTTGCCGTTTCATAGCTCAATTTGCAACTTCCCTCAGTGGCTCCAGAGAACTCTTTCAAACTTAAAGAGGTACAGCTAAGGAACAAGCATTATTTTGGAGATGTTCCATTTGTGGGGTTTGGAATTTCAGAGGTTAGTGATACTTATAAGTTGGCAAATGTTTCCCAATCCCTTTAAGTTCACTGTTATGCAAGTTTAAAGTCATTAGCATATCTGTAGAATGCCCTTTTACAAAACCTTAAAACCGTGAAGTGGAAATTCTGCCCTCTTGACACCATGTCATTAATATACATGTATGAATCAGGGTTTTATTTTCACTCAATAGCCAGTGCACCGCTCGTATGGAAGCCCCTCTCTGTCGGAGACCTGTCTTCTTGAGCAGGACAGAACTTATTAGCAGGTGCTTTAGATCAGAGCATGTTCTTCAGGGACAATTCACTGACTCATTTTTAGCCACTCTGGGGCCAGTGCCAATGACAATACAGAGAATTGATAGAATTATTATTAGGCAGGTAAATATTTCATATGAACCTTGGTTCTTGATGACATAAATCACCTTTTTATTTTTCCTATTAGCAGATGCTAAATAACCTAAGGAATCACCGTTCTGGAAACCATTTATGGTTAGATTCAGAGAAGTTAGTCTTTTTTAGTGGCTCATGCCTTTGCAATTGTTTTCTATCAATAAGAGAGCCAAATTTACTTCACTGTCTTTAATTTCTTCCCAGTTCCAAATATGTATTTCTAGCAGTTTATTGGATATCTCTGCCCAGGTGATTTTTCTCAACTAAATTTGAACAATGTTTCTCCACCAGATAATAAAAATAAAATTGCAAACATAATTTCCTGGGTACATACAGTTTTGGAAAGTATAACTATTTACCCCAATTACTGGGTATCAGCATCTATCCCCTACTTCCCCCTTCCTTCCTGAGCCATCCTTCCCTGTTATGTAGCAGCCATGAGGTTTGGGTGGGACTGACTTCACTTCCAGTATCACTTGTGGGCCCTCATTGGTATAAATCAATTGATGTAATCTTATCCCCCTTGCAATTGAATTTGGTCCACATATGGCAATAAGCCAAGGCAATTAGAGAATGGAATTCCCCTGGCTCCCCAGGATTAGTTTAGGTTGGTCCAATCAGAGCAAAGTCAAGCACTTTTGTTCAGTGCATGTATGAAGTATGGCTCTCACTCCCCCAGATGTGAAAGAGCAAGCATGTAGCCCCAGCTGCTGCTGCTGCTAGAAGTCACCTCATTATTAAAAGTTTATAAGAGGAGGGAGACGCCAAGAGGGAGGAGATATAGGGATATATGTATATGCATAGCTGATTCACTTTGTCATACAGCAGAAACTAACACACCACTGTAAAGCAATTATACTCCAATAAAGATGTTAAAAAAAAAAGTTTATAAGAGAAGCTGGCCTTACTATAAATCACATAGAGGAATGCAGACCTGAGAGAATTTTAAAAAGAAGCAGCAGCAGCTGCTGCAGCCTGGATCAAAACACGCCTATGACCTAATTTTGAGCTTTTAGTTTACATGAGCCAAAATTCCTCCTTATTGTTTAAGTCAGTTTGAGTTGGATTTTCTGGGTGGTTTTTTTTTTCCCTGTCATTTGTAACTTAAAGCAGGGGTCCCCATCCCCCCCACCCCCACCTCCTAGGCCGCACAGCAGGAGGTGAGTGGCAGCTGAGCCCCATTGCTACCCATCGCTGGCTTTACTGCCTGAACCATCCCAATCCCCCCATCCCCGTCTGTGGAAAAATTGTCTTCCACGAAACCGGTCCCTGGTGCCAAAAATGTTGGGGACCACTGACATAGCATCCTAACTCATACAACTTCCCTACAAAAGCTATTAAAAATCAACCAGTCACAAATATGTATTGGACATTAATCAAGCCACTTGAGACATACTTAAGAAGCTGAAAAGTTGGTTGTTTAAAATCTAGCTGGGGAATTCCCTGGTGGTCCAGTGGTTAGGACTCCATGCTTTCACTGCCGAGGACCCAGGTTCAATCCCTGGTCAGGGAACTAAGATCCTGAAAGCTGCGCGGTGCAGCCAAAAAAAATTTTTTTTTAATAAAAAATAAAATCTAGCTGGAAATAAGGGATGAGTATAATTGTAATAACATCAGTCACTGACTATTCAGTACTGCCTCTGTGTCAGGCACCACACTAAGTGCTTTACACATGTGATCTCACTCCATCCTCACAACAACCCCAGAATCTGAGGGTAGGTAAGATTATCCCCATTCTAGAGAAAAGAAAATGAAGGTTCAGAGAGATTAAGTACTGTCACAAAGCTAATAAGAATTATAGAAGAATCCACATCCAAATCTGTGAGATGTCAGAGCTTGCGGTGCTTTTTGTGTGTGTGTGTGTGCTTTTTTTTTTTAATTTTTACTGATATATAGTTGATTTACAATGTGTTAGTTTCAGGTGTACAGCAAAGTGATTCAGTTATACATATATATATATATATATATAAAATTCTTTTTTAGATTCTTTTCTATTATAGCTTATTACAAGATATTGAGTATAGTTCCCTGTGCTATACAGTAGGTCCTTGTTGGTTATCTATTTTATATATAGTAGTGTGTATATTTTAATCCCAAACTCCTAATTTATCCCTCCCCCCACCCTTGCTGGGTTTTTAATCATGCTCTTTACATGATTCTGCTATAACATGAACTGAAGCTCAAAGAAGGAAAAAATAATGTTAAAAATTGATATTTTGCAGGGGAAAAATTAAGGAATATAATATAAATAAGATCTGAAATAAAAATATTAAGATAAATGTAAGATAAAATTAAGAAATATAAGATAAATCGTAACACTAATATAACCTTCCAGAAGACCATTCCACTATAAAAAGATTTGGACCAATACCACAAGTACAAGATTTTTTAAAACATACACTCCTAACTGGTAACTTCAAATAAAATAGCAGCCATCATTATAAATATTACTAGCGCTAACTCTTAGAAAATATGCCAGGTATTTCTTTAAACACTTTAGAACTATAACTTCCTATAACTCATTGAATCTTCACAAAAACCCTAGAAGGCTGGTGCTACCATTGTCCCCATTTTACATATAGGGAAACTGAGGCACAAAGATGTAAAATAATTCGCCCAATGTCTCAGCAAGGAAGAGGCAGAGCAGGATTCCACCCCAGACCTTGTTGACCTCCAGAGTCCATGCACTTTATCACCATGCTATACATATTTAACCATGTAAAATCCTATATGACTACAACATTTGAATATCTACCATGCAAGCCTGGGAGGCAGGAAATCTCTTGGTGTAGCAGCGAGAATGAATGAAGGTTTTGGCTCCTACTATTGTGGGGCTGGACTCAAATCCAGGCTCTGTGACTTACTAGTTCTGTGACCTTGGGCCAGTTACCATGCTTCTTTCAGCCCCAGATAAAATACTATTTACCTCCTGGAGCACTTTTAATACAGGTAGGCATTATTCTTTTCTGTTCATTCCAAGGAACACTGTTACAAAGGCAGTCTTACAGAATATCATCAAGCAGCTAGTTAATTTTAGAATAATCAATTGTTAGAATTCAGATGGACATTTAAAAAATTGGTCTGTGTGCAGGCAAAACTTGTGCCACTGACAAGCCAAAAAAGGAAATAATTAATACCAATCAACTCACAGTACTTCTACAGAGACAAGTGAGATAATATTTATAACCGCCCTACCACAAAACTATACAAATTCTAAGCAATAGTGCAATGGGAAGTCTTGATATGCAGTTTGAATATTCTAAACATGAAAAATATTAACAAAACACACACATACTTTAAACTGGATTTAATTATACCTACCATGTCTGCAGAAGAATTGAATAACTACTTTGCACTTATCAGATCTAGTAAATATTTTGCATTTCTCTACATTTCTTTCGAGGGAATTCAGACATCTAAAGATAGGCAGAATTGACTGTAATACAAACACATTATAGAAGAGCACATACTTAATATGGTTGCTTCATTAGTTTAAAAACAACCTAACAAAAGAAGAGTAAGTATATTCGTAAATGAACAGACTGTTCTGCATGCCATTTAAATCAAGTATTAAGTACAGAATAGGTGTTATGCCCTATATAATGAATATTTCTACAATACAAGAGAAAACCATGCCCACTTACTCTTACCTTCATTCCCAATTTGCAATTTAAATTAGATATTGTGTCACCATCATTCATTTTCACCGAGGTTGACCATTGATAATGTTGAAAAAACACAGGCGAGAAGAGGACACATCCATATGCTGACCGACAAGAATTCACAGATCTTAAAGCAAGCTAGAAAAATAAAATAATAGCTATACAGGAAAAAAATCAACTTTAATGATTAATTTAAAAAATTTTTAATTTTTAAATTTTAATTTAATTTTAATTTAATTTAATTTTAATTTAAAAAATTCTATTATGTTTAACATCGCATTGAAGTGTGTCTGAGTAAGGCTATGGGATGTGAACTGCATGATATGGACTACATTATACACATAAGTTATAGTACTGATGTAATATGGACTGCATTATACAGTGTGCATTTAATTTTCATATGTACACACATCTAAACGGAATATATTATATATAGGTATTAAGTCTAAAATCCTGCATGCTGAAATTGTATTTTTCTTTGTTTGTTTTTGGTAACAAGAACATATTTATAATTGTAAAAATGTAAATGCCCACAGGGGCCTTAACTTTAAAGCACAAAGTGGCAGAAGGCAATATAAAAGGGAGTAAAAAGATTGCAGCAAAATTTTCCCTCGCCTAAGGGGAGAGACTGTTAGTCAGCCAACTACTTCCACTTGGGAATGCAGGCCCCAAACTATCAAATCTTCTGAGTTTTCAACAGAATCAGGAAATTCAGATTTTTATGTGGACTCTCCCAATTACTGTTAGAAAATTATTTCATTTTTTAAAAAGAACATAGTGCAGGCCCCACAAAACATTTCTGCAAGCCATATCTAGCCTCTTGACCACCAGTTTGTTTCTTCTGGCTTAAATCAACTGTGTATGATTTTTAAGTTTACCACGCTCTAAATGTATTTAGATATGTAAAATAAAGATGAACAGTGAAAGGGCTGATTAGAATTTCTGGATTTCCTAGTTAACATTCAATCTGGACTGGGATTTATAAACATCTTCTTTTTTCCTTAATCTATTAGTTAAATTTCTTACTTACACCTTTTTCAGAAGGGTCTAGCCACAGCTCATCACTAATTCGTGAGAGTGCTTGGATCGCTTTCCCAAATACTATGGAGAAAAAGAAAGGTGCCTTTTACATTCTTTTTCTCAAACAATAAAATCATAGGACTACTTCAGCATTCACAGGACTCAAGATAAATTCATAAGGAACAGTGTTTTATAGACTAATGCTACAAATTGTTTTAAGAAATACGGTATAATACCCTTGGCAAAATGCCAGACACATAGTAAGTGCTCAATAAATTAACAGAATGAGGGATTTCCCTGGTGGTCTAGTGCTTAAGACTCTGCCCTCCCAATGCAGGGGGCCTGGGTTAGATCCCCAGTCAGGGAACTAGATCCCGGGAACTAGATCTAGATCCTGCATGCTGCAACTAAGACCCAGCGCAGCCAAATATATAAATAAATATTTTTTAAAAAATAATAAATTCACAGAGTGAGTGTGTGAAATAATAAAATGCAACAAAATTCTTCCTTTCTATATGTTCACAGTGTTGCATGGAACTACTGTGGCAAGCCAGTTTCCATACTAATGCATTTTTAAACTTGGTTTAAATAAATGTATACCCCCACCCCCCAAAAGTGTGAAAACAGAGCATGTAGGAGATGGTTTGAAGGGTTTTAATAACTTCACAGGCAGCAAAGTCAAAACAAGTCATGAGAGAGAAATTAGAGGAATTCAAGATGTATCTCTGATGTTTGAGCACAGAACATGCCAGATCTTCCCAGAAAACACAGTTAGATGCCCTGTCAGAAAGAGAGGCCAGGGCTGGATGAAATATTGGTCTTATCTGGTATGACACCATTTATGTTCTTATAAATTATAAGTAAAAAATATGGCAAACAGATATGGGATACTATGATGCAATAAAAATGGATGGCCATATCAATCCATGGAAAAGTAGAAAAAAGGAAAAATAATTTCAGAACATAAAATCAGATTATCATGCTTAAGAATCAGAGTTGGCTGGCTTCCCTGGTGGCGCAGTGATTAAGAATCCGCCTGCCAACGCAGGGGACACAGGTTCGAGCCCTGGTCCGGGAAGATGCCACATGCCGTGGAGCAACTAAGCCCGTGCGCCACAACTACTGAGCCTGCGCTCTACAGCCCGTGAGCCACAACTACTGAGCCCACATGCCACAACTACTGAAGCCCACACACCTAGAACCCATGCTCCACAACAAGAGAAGCCACCACAACGAGAAGCCTGCGCACCACAACGAAGAATAGCCCCCGCTCGCCGCAACTAGAGAAAGCCCGCGCACAGCAACGAAGACCCAACGCTGCCAAAAATAAATAGATAAATAAATTAAAAAAAGAATCAGAGTTGGGGGAATTCCCTGGTGGTCTGGTGGTTAGGACTCCACAATTCCACTGCCAAGGGCCCAGGTTCAATCCCTGGTGGGGGAACTAAGATCCCGCAAGCTGCACGGCACAGCCGGAAGTGGGGGTGCAGGCCTCAAACTGAGAAAGAGAGGATGACTAGGGGGAGAAAAAGAGGCGTTTGTCCCTTTTTACCACTTCACATTCACCACTTCTTCCTGGAGCTAGCTAATGAAGACCTTTCATTCATTCAATGAATATTTATCGAGCACCTAGTATGTTCCAAGGACGGTACAAGCCAAGGCAATGCGGGTATAGCAATGAACAAGACGGGTTTACAGCTCCTGCCCTCACAGGGCTTAGAGTTACGGAGTAAAAACAAATTTAAACAATCATACAAATTATCACTTATTGAGAACTAAGGTACACATTGCAAGAGAGAACTTTCTAGAACTCTGAGAACATGCAACAATGGGGGGTCTTGTGCTTCCCTTTCCTGTTCATTAATACTGTTCCATAGAGGTCGTCAACACAGGGGAAGCCGGCTGCAACACAAGATGCCTTTCAATAATCACTTTCAGGTTATGATCTGTATGACCATTACTTTTCTAAATAGAGACTTTCTGGAGTAACTTACATGTTTAAAGTACCATTTACAATAAACAATAGTTCCTATACATTCCCATTCATTACTGAGCTCTTTACCTGCATTTTATTCCTACAATAAACCCTATAATGAAGATGCCGTTAATATTTTCATTTTACAGATAAGAAAACTGAGCCCAGAAGTGATTCCGTGGCTTGTCCCAGGTCATACATTAAAAATGTTAGAATTTGGGAAAAAAAACAGGTTTATGCTTTTTTCTCATGGCACTAAAATACTTTTACTGTCCAAGCATTGTTTTTCCCAACTTCCCACACAGTCCTATCGTCCCGAGTTTGAAACTGCCGTTCCAATATTTGTCCAGATAGTGCAACTTCATTTTATGGACACCTATGAATATAAATATTATGCATAAATAAAAGCAGATGGGCCGTCATTCGCCCCTCAGAAGCTAACAGGACCCTGGGTGGGTGGGTGCCGGCTGTGGCCAGGCCTTGTGTCCTCCGCCCCTAGGCAGAAAGGCAAAGATCAAGAAACTAGACGATGGTGGAAACTTCCCCATGAACCCTAGGCTTTCCCTTTTCTACACAGAAAGGCAAAAAAGGCCTCTGCACCTTTCACCTGACTGCCGCTCATCCCGCACTTCAGCATGACTGCAATCCCTAAAAATGTCAGTCACTCTGCGCGCCTCAGCTCGAGGGCCCCAGGCGCCCGGATGTTGCCCGCGCTTTTGGAAACTTCGCGATCTTGGCCACAGCCCCACCACAATTTCCCAAAGAACAACTTCGCTTTACGGCGGCGAAGAACCTAAGCGGGCCTCCGTAGAGCTGTCTCTCGCCGACTTCTCTTTTCATTGGTTGTGAGCGAGGTGGGCGGGTCGTCGAGGCGTCTGAGGAAGAGAGGGCGGCGGCGGTTGTGGTGACTGAGCGGAGCCCAGTGACAGGATGGTGAGGGCGGCAGCTGCGGCGACAGAGGCCTGCCTCTCGGTTGGGGTGCTGCGTCGTTGGGAGACGCTGGGAGTCTCTGGGCGAGGGCTTAAACGATCCCGGAGACCGTGGCGGGCGCGGCCGGGGCCCGGGCCTGGGGAAAGACAAGGGAGGAAAGAGCGGCCACCTCTGGGTGCGGCCAGCCCTGGCCTCGCAGCCCAGCCCCAGGAGCCACAGGACGTCCGAGGGGGGAAAGGGTCCCTTTCAGCTGCAGCTTCTGTCACGAGCCCCTCACGCCCGAGCCGGGGAAGGCCTTTGGGCCTGTGCCTCGAGCGTCCCAGAGAAAGGAGCACGGGAACTCCGCCGTTTCCAGACGTTTCCTTGCTCCTTTCGCGCAAAAAGCACCTCCCGCTAGTAGGTAACCCACCGGTTACCACCCCCATGTGGCGAAAGCTGGCTTCTCGGAGGCAAAACGGGAAGAAGCAAGCTACCATTTAGTTTGCTGTCTAGAGAAAGTGGATAAGAGCTGTCCCCTTCGCCCCTGAAATACCGTGCAGCTGCCATTGAAATGTGGCAGTGGGCCCTGAAAAGGACTGGATTTAGCTTTTAGGGTTACTGGAATTACTTCCTCAGGCTGCTGCGACCCTTTAGAGCAGGATTCCTTAATGGTTTTCGAACTCCTTGAAATGGTTTGGAATACGTTTTGGAATGTTTTTCTGGTGAAAGGGTCATTGTTGGCAGCAAGGAGTAGTTTGGGAAGCTTTACCTCATTCGTCCGTCAGATTGCCCCAGATCATCCCCTCACCCCCAGGAGGTCGGTACCCCAAGGCCTGCCTACGTGAAAACTCGGGAACTGCTGCCAGAGAGGGCTAATAGCGGTAATCAGATTTTCAAAGTGCCCTTGACCCCCTACAAAGTGAAGAACGGTTTTAAAAGGGTTTCTGATGATCTTGGTATTTGTGTTGCTGAAAAGAGACTTCTCTCTCTGATGAACATCTATTGCATTTTTAAGATGATCGTGATTTTATGACCAGCAGCCTTTAAGGTGCCTTATAGACGTGACAGCCAAAGATTCATGGTCTCTGGTTCTTTAGCTTCTTTATGTATGTTAGAGACTTTAATCCCACTTTTGATTTTTGCTTCTAAACAGACTCCGGATTAGAGTAGTCCAGTTTACAGTAATTTTGAGACAGTTATCCCTGGGAGAAGATGAAATTACCTGACATGATTTCTATATTAATGTTTCTGAAGTTTTTTTGAGAGGTGAACACTTTTTCAGGGTAGTTGTACTGAAATATCACTTTTCATGTGAAATAGAACTGGGCAAAATTTAGAGTTAGTCGATTCTTTTACAATTAAAAGCATTTTATTTGGCAAAAGAGACCAGAAATGTTCAATATACAGTAGTATCCAGAGTCTATGGACAGCAAATTCAAGTGTGGGGAAAGTCCAGATTTAGCTGGAGGAAGGTGTCTGCTTTTATCATCCAAGTACATCCAATACTTGATAATGTATTCATAGTGCTGTGTTAGATCTTCTGCACAAAATGACCTAGCTGCAGCATAATTTTCCAACTACTAGAATTTTAAACATAGGAGGATTAAAATCAATATACTTGAAGAATAATTAGTCCTAAAGATCCAGAAAATGTTAGCTTTCATTTAAGCTATTGCTGATGAATTTTCCAAATAAAATTCTAAACAGAACAGGAAACAAAACGGATGGGAGTCAAAGTGGCGAATGAGATTAGGAAAAGTCGAAAAAATTTTAAGTGTGTGTGTGTGAGAGAGAGAGATATCTTATAGTACAGCATATGGTTCTTTTGGTAATGTTTTGAGCAAAGCTGATTTTTAACATTTTCTTTCATAACACTCAGAAATCATTAACAGTTGTTTGCATATTCATTTGATGAGTTTTTTGTTCTTTTTTTGGTTTGTTTCTTTTCGTTGCTTTCTTTTAACATTGGTCATGTTTCACCCTTTTTTTTTCATTCCCCTGTCTGCAATCAACTTCTTCATTCCACTAAGGCTGGGCACAGAGTAAGTTTCTTCTCTTAGCTCCTACTAACAATGGTGGTTGGGTGCTGTTACTGGGATTTCACCCTTTTATGTCTATCAAATAGGAAGTAACCAAATTCCTATGCTTTGATTAGGTTGGTTCTTTATTTGAATTTAACAAGACCGCCATTTCCAGGATCTTTTGCTGTCTTAAAAGACTCTGTAATCTATGTCTAACCTGAACTGTCCAAAGTGTGGAATTTGGGCAAAGACACTGCTCAAAGTATGGTATTTGTTATGTGACACTCTTCCCCCTATAACTTAAAAAGCTGCAGGAAATCAAAGTCCTAGTAAGGATCCTTACTAATTTGAAATAGTTTCTGTGTGGCCATTCATAGTTATATCTTTAGACTGCTAATAGTCTAGGTGCACTTGGGCATAATCCTCAGTACATTATAGAATTTAGCTCATAGATCATTATAAAGTATCATGTCTTACTAATGTTCGTTCTACCACATTCAGATTGAACAGCTCATTCATTATTAGGCCCAAACATTTTCAACCTGTTATAGACATATACCCTTAATTTATGAGTTTGAGGTTCTTTTTTTTTTAATATAGAAATCTATTTTTTTACCTTTTTCTCAAATGCCAGCTTCCCACATTAACTATGTACTTCAATTCATATCTGAAGGGATCCCCCTCTAAAGATGAAGATTGTTCTATCTCCAGGTACTTTTGTATTGATTATCACTGAGGGTGGAAACTATGTGGTGGTTTTTAGTTTTATAGATGTTTTGTCCACTAAGATTTGGATTGAAACAATATGTCATTGAGCAAATACCAGCTGAAACTACTCTTTGTAAAGAAGCTTATTTAATAATTTCTTTTAAAGTGAGCTAGTTTTGTAACCTTGTGTTACCTCAGTTACTTTATATCCTGATAACATTTCCTTTCCTTTGTAATCATTTTGATATTTGTTGCAAGATGAATCAAGCTTATTGTGATAATAATTTTAATTTTACACATTTTGGTTTTGATTAATTTCAACTTACAAAGTCTGTAGTGGCCAAACTTTGCTGTTTATCCTGTTTTAGATATTTAATGTTTTCTTTGGTAATATTAAAGAATAGTAATGCGTTCTTTAGAACCAGTTAAAGGGCATGTACATTTATGGATGGGATATCTGTGTGGGAAAGGATCCTGTCATAGAATGAAGGTGCTTATACTGTCTGCAGCCATACCACCCTGAACGCGCCAGATCTCGTCTGAAGGTGCTTATACCAATGGACATGGAGAAATTGACTCTCTTGTCCTTTGGAGGGCGAATACTATTTTTAAATGATCTTTTTGACATTATTGTGTTAAGTGGTGTATATATGTCAAATCTTGAAATTTTAAAATTAAAAATCTGCAGGATTGAGGTTTTTTAATTCTTTTATATTTATATGCAGAATTTGTTTTTGTCATCTGAGATTGTTCCAACTCTAAACCACCTCCTGCTGAATTCGTCACTTATTTAGCTGATCTCTCTCTTTTTTTAATGCTCTAATGCACATGAAAGATTGATATGTTATTTTAAGTTTGGGAACTAAACTGAGGATACATAGACAATTTGATCTAAACAAAAATATGACAGTCAGGATTTCTAATGATGAAGGAAAGAGAAGATAACAAAATTATAGTTCAGAAGCACATGTTTGCCCTATTGAAACTCTTTGCAACATAGGCTGTTTTTATTCCTCTGCAATGTATAGTTAATATTTTAAGTAACAAATATTGTAAATTTTGGCTACTGTTCCTCCAAATAGTTGTCAGTCTAGTAAATTATAGAATTAACTTTTTTTTCCTCTATCATTATAATTTTAACCATTCTTTTTATTAACATCCCTGGAATCGATATATGATGTTTTACATTAACACTGCAGAAATATGAATTACCATATCAAATTCCATAGGGCCTGGTAGTATATTTTTCATTTTTCAATTTTTTTGAGTGTAATTTATAGGTCTCTGAATGAATCGCTTTAGAAAGCTTGATTTTATTCTTGATAAATAGAATGATTACCGGTATTGTGTGCACACCTATTTATGACCCAAATAAACTAAGATTGATTTAGAATCATATGTGTGTTTAAGTGGTCATGATAGGAACTATGTGAGTAACTTCTGCTCTTTTGGGTTTTGGAATCTCTGATTAGTTTAATTTAAAAGAGGACTTATGGGAGGAGAATATCTTGTTTTGAAATCATGTTTAACATTACACCTTTTCTCACCTTGACACTTTAAAGTTGGTGTTGGTATTAGGAGACCTGCACATCCCACACCGGTGCAACAGTTTGCCAGCTAAATTCAAAAAACTGCTGGTGCCAGGAAAGATTCAGCACATTCTCTGCACTGGAAACCTTTGTACCAAAGAGAGTTATGACTATCTCAAGACTCTGGCTGGTGATGTTCATATTGTGAGAGGAGACTTCGATGAGGTGATGTACTTCCCTTTCGCTTCCCAAATATTCCCTTTCCTTTTTTTTTTCCTGTTGTGTTGATTATATATTAATTAAATATTTCCTTTTATTGATTTATATATATATAAGGTTTATTTTTGAGACCAGAGTTTCTCAACTGTTAAGGTTTGTTTTGCTTTTTTTTTTTTAGTTTTCCAATGTAAAATTATTACACATACCCCTCCCTTACAGTTTGAAAATCACTGATTTTAGACTACTTAATAAACATATTACATACTTGTTC